AATCTTTCTCATCTATATATGGCAAAAGAAATCGTATGCTTCTGTTCACGATCAGATGTTTGGTTCAATTAACGATGAGACTTGCTACTTTTCAAAGAATACTTAAAGAATTTTAAAAAAAACATATTATATATAATACTACATATATATATAAAATATATCGCGGCGAGTACTGGTACTGGACGTGTCCGGTGAAAGGCTTTTGAGATCCGACCACATCATCAGCTTCGGTCACATTGTTTTTCCACTTTCTTCGTTGTACAGATACCAGTATTGGATCGCTTCGAAGCATAAAACAAGCTGCACAATGACAACCACAGATAACAAAGGTGACAACAAGCAGCGAAGTCGCAAGGCCAGAGACAGCCAAAAGGAGGATGCCAAGGCCAAGGAAAGAGGCCGAAGAAGACAGAACAAAAAGGATCCATCCACCACAGTATCACCTGGTGTTGAATCTGGAAAGGATGGAGAAGCTCTTGACAAGTCGAGTAGAAGCAGAGGCCAACGTCGCAATCATCAAGAGGACCGTCAAGCCAAAGACAAAGCTCGCACCAGTGGAAGATCCGGTTCATCCTCTCGACCAGGCGTTTCGCATGAGACAAACTCTTCAGGAGATCTGGCTCGCAAAAAGTCTTCTGGCACTTCTACCAGCAGTCGACGTTATTCTCCTGACAGGAATGGGGAAACGATTATTGGTAGCCCACGAACGCGTTCCTCTCCTCGAAGTGGACGCAAAAAAGGAGACGATAAGAAAAATGGCCACAGCAACCGTACGTGGATCATCTCTTCCTGGAGCACAGGCTGAGAGTTTTGGTAGCCCGCGCTCGCGAAAATCTCCTCGTAGTGGAAGTTAAAAGGGAGCCGACAAGAAAGGCCATCGCAACCGAGGATCTTCCATTCCTGGCGTGCAGGCTGAAATAAATGATCGGGACCGAGCAAGTCGCAAAGAGGCACGGCAAAGCAGTAACACTCGTGGGGTCGGTTTGGATGGCACAATTGCACCAAACAAAGACGATAAATATGCTGTTCATGCCAGCATTGTGGGGGAGGAAGAGTTCAATGAAGGACAGCGCAATGAGGACGAAGAAGCTCGGATCAGCAAAAGGATCCAAGAAGAAGCCACAAGACTTCGAGACGAAGAAAAACGTCAAGAAAATGAGCGCAAGAAACTAGAAGCAGAACAGAAGCGCAAGAAACGGCGCAACTTGGTGATTCTCGTGGTCATCCTACTTCTGATTGGCATTGGTGTTGGAGCCTACTTTGGCACCCAAGGGATATCAAGTACCAACTCAGTTGACAATGGCCAAGCAGCTGTGGTGAACCCTGCTGATGATACTACATCCCAATCTCCTTCAGCTGATCTAACCGCTGCTACTACCAACCCTCCATCCCGCATCTTCCGCCAGATCTGGAAGATTGCCAGCGCTTGATTGGTCGGGATCCTCCACTGGATGAAGAAGGCACCATGGAGAATCGGGAATTCGAGGTGGATTTCGATCTCGGCTTGTCTAGAGTCGATACCAACATTACTTCTGTATTTCCAGAGGTGGAACAAAACATTGAAGAATGGTTGCTTCCTAGACTTGTGGGATGTGATGTTCTTGAGCGCCGCCTGGAAAATGATACTAGACCGGTTTCATATGGCATTCGTGGTCAGGTAGAATCACGTCGATTGCAATCATCCAAGGATCCCCTCCGATATATGATTGCTGATGTGTTGGACATCCGCGCAGTCGATCAAGAGGAGGAATGCTCCACTACCTCCGACATTCCTAACTGCAGCTTTGTGAAAGTCAAGATGAATTTGATGCTTCGGGGAGATGAGCTGAACTTGTACGTGGTGACACTGATCTCCGAGTTCTTCCCAGAAGGCGAAGATCTCAGTAGTAAGATTGATTTGTCAGACCCTATTGAAATCTTTACTGTGAGGGGTATTGGTGCGACGGGTCCTACCAAGGCTCCTACTGCAATGCCTTCTTGGGAGCCGAGCGTTTCTCCCTCAGGTTCTCCAACCAAGGAGGCAACTAATCCTGGACCATCCGACCCCAGTGGTCAGATTCCTGAAACAACAATGGAACCCTCCCAATCACAACGCACAACACCTTCAGCAAGGCCATCGAGTGCCCCATCGCCGATTCCGCCACCAACCTTAGCCCCAGTACCAAGAGCAACGCCAGTTCCAACACAGACGGCATCTGGAACTCCATCACAGGTTCCGAGTAAGAATCCTTCGTCTACGCCATCAGCTGCTCCTGTTGTCGGAATCACACCTTTACCATCCATTACACCATCCACAATGGAGCCTTCGCATCAACCCAGTGAATCACCATCGGCTGATCCATCACTCAAGCCATCTGCGTCACCAAGTGCTGAATTTTCTCCTATACCTTCGACTGAACCTTCAATGCAGCCTTCTGTTCAGCCTTCAATGCAGCCGTCTTCCGTCCCTTCCAATTCACCTTCTACATCTCAGCCTTCTTCTTCGCCAACCAAATATCGATGTTTTCAATCCAATGCCGAGCTGAAAGGCGTAGTTGGCGACTGGTTTGCTACATCTGCACAAAAAGCATCAGTCGAAGCCCAGTATGGACTGATCGGAGACTGGTGTTTCGGTGCAGGTGTGACTAGTATGAGTAGGCTTTTTCAAGGCCGTTCTACTTTCAATGAGGATCTTAACAACTGGGACGTTTCTTCTGTGACAACGATGTTGGTAATGTTCGGAGGAGCATCATCTTTCAATGGAGTCATTTCAAATTGGAACGTCTCTTCTGTGACAACGATGGCGGCAATGTTCTCAGGAGCATCATCTTTCAATGGAGTCATTTCAAATTGGAACGTCTCTTCTGTGACAACGACGGCAACAATGTTCGCAGGAGCATCCTCGTTCAACCAAGACTTGTCAGGATGGGATGTTTCCTCTGTCACTAACATGAATGACTTGTTCAAGTTTGCATCATCCTTCAATGGAGATATATCGTCATGGGATGTTTCATCGGTCACTATAATGTGGGCAACGTTCTGGGGTGCATCATCCTTCAACCAAAATATTTCAAAATGGGAGGTTTCTTCTGTTACTACTATGAATGGAATGTTCCATATCGCACGTTCATTCAATCAAGACATATCGTCATGGGATGTTTCTTCAGTCACTAACATGTGGTATTTGTTCAATGAAGCATCGACCTTCAACCAGAATCTTTGTGCATGGGGCCCCAAGAGTTCGAATGTTGTCACGTTGCCAGAATTTTGGCGCAGCAACTGCCCTACAAGAAGTGTGCCAAATCTCGATGCAGATCCACCCGGTCCCTTTTGCCACGCTTGTGCCTAGTAGTGAATAAACAAATGCAGATCATGAATCTACAACGATCCTCACTGTGGCTTACATTTGGTTGCGTTGCATGCGGTGTGGACAGTCTTATATACATCTCGTCACCCAATTTTCATTCTTCCCATAACATCCAATCGAACACAACATGGTGAGTGCCAGACCTACTGTGTAATATGGAGCAGCGTTGAATAATTTCGGATAAGTACTATGATATAAATTCATATATTATAATGAAAGCGCTCGAATTAGAATAGCCCAAATGTACACAGCAACATGCCATTACTGCGACGGTCGGCTTAATCTTCGGATTTCAACTTTTTCATCCAGCTGGATGACTCGAGACTCTTCATCTTTTGTTGAGCCTTTGTTTTGAATTCCTTTTCCTTGTCGGCAGCCATTGCCTTTAGTTCAGCTTCTTTGACTGCCATTTTGGATCTTAGTTCCTTTTCTTTGCTGTCCTTCTTGGCCTGGAGTTCGGCTTTTAACTCGTTGGCTTTCTTTTCCGCTTTGGCAGTCAGTTCCTTTTCGAGATCATCCTTTTTCTTTTGTGCCTTTGCTTCAATCTCCCCCTGAATATCTTCTGCCTTTTTGAAAGCCTTCTTTTTCAAAGCGTCGGCTCGGTCCTCCAGTTCCTTAGCCTTGGCCTTTGCATTTGCCCCCTCCTCTTTCAAGATTTCTTTCGCTTTGGATTGCAGTTCCTTGGCCCGTTCGTTGGCCATATCCTTGATTTCCTGAGAGCTGCGTTTGGCTTCTGCCTGAAGTTCCTTTACAAGATCATTGACTTCCGATCGCTTGGCCTTGGCTTCTGCCTTTAAGTCTTCTGGCGATGATTCGGTAACCTTTGACAATAGGTCTGTAAACAGACCACCTCCTCTGTGCATAGGGATACTTCGTGAGTATTGGAACATGCACGACGTGGCTATCGTCGTGGTCAGATCTGAGACTTACCTAGGGATTCCAAACACTGATGGTGGGATGAGAAGCCTTTGTTGGGCGGGAATAATCTGCTGATTATTGGCTTGGACGAGAACAAGACTCTGTGCCAACAAGATCGAGGCAGCGGTTGTTGCGAATGTCACTTTCATTGTATCGTGTGGAAGTAGAATCAATTAGTATTGGCAACAAAGACTGTATTTGTGATAGCTCGTCAATGACTAAAAGTCGATGATGTGATGGAAACCGGTATTGGCGATAATCCGCAAGATATAAGAACGCAAAGGTGTCAATATATAAAATAGGATGAGTCAAGATTGAATTTTTGGATACGCCACGGAATCTGGAATCGTAAATGTTCCGTTGCTGTGGGTGTCAAAGTCATTTTTTTCTCTCGTACTGTAGGACCATAAATCAAACCTAAAGCAGTACCTTTGAATTTTGGGGCAACGACTATATATGAACTCAAAATTGAAAATTTCCATTTCCATTATTGTCAACCTTTCAGAGTCTTGTTAGCATCTATAACACCTCTCCTGGCTTAATGCTTCTGCGCAGATTCCCTCAAAATCCATTCGTTCGACGCAAAATCCAATCAAATCGCTTTCGAAAAACTGTCCTGTCGAAATCTACCAAGAAGGCAGATGGAGTTGATTTTGACACCATGGCAAGCTTTGCGAGACTTGCATTCGTCACCCTCAAGAAATGAATGCGCAGCTTAACATAGCTGTGTGCTTCCATTATCTACTCTGTTCCATGAGTTCTTCAATCAATAGAAAATGCGACAGGTGATTGGTTTGCATTTGAGTGTCGTATCCATCGACGGTTGCCTTGTCGGGTGTGGCCATGATCCCAGCATTGCAGGCCATACAATAAATGCCCGTCTCACTGTACTTGGACTTGATTTCGGCAATGGCATTCTTGACCGATTCGAACGATTGCAAATCGCATTCGATGGGAACCAACGTGGCGTCGGGGTATATAGTCTACAGCGACGTGAAAGTCGAATTCAGCGAGGCTAAAAAGTCATCTGCGTTTACTATGTTTACTCACTTGGAGTTGCCGACAACACTTCCTTGTAGCTGTAGAACTTGTGCGCATAGTCTGCAACAGACATCGATTCCTACTTTACAGTGTCAATATCCAAAGTCGCTGCACGTGCGCTGAAGCCATCTAGTAAACGATGACCAATGACGACACGCTATACGAACTTGGGCAAAGAAATCTGTTCCAGTGAAATAATAAGACCCATCTATATGCGGTTTCAGCGAAGACGAAAACGACGATGGATCTAGAGTGAGCGCCAAGAAGAGAACCCCAGTAGCGCTGTCTAGATGTCCAAGAAAAGTAGGACCCAGGGGAATGAGGACAATCGTTTGCCTTGAAAACAAATTCCATCTTGATATTCCGAGTTTGGCTGTTTAGTTTATCTTTAAAAGCAATTATAGGACTGTACTACACTTTGTGACTGTCCCCGCTCCTAGCTGTTTCGGCCAGACCATAATCATAACATGATTGAAATGTTAATTGCACCTGAATCTCCACGAACAATAATTGGATTGACAGTCTGCGTGCTCGTTGCAATATGACCCATATCCAAGCTTTGCTTTGCAATATCCGACATGTCCCCACCATTCACAACGATCAGAGTCGCAGTCAGAGTTCAGCTCACACTTGGCACCGTCTTTTCCAGAGCGACAAAATAACTGGACACATTTGTTGTCAATACAATCGCTATCGAATTCACACCGGTCATCGACCTTTCCGGCTCTGCATGAACCTAGGACGCATTTGGCGTCATCCAAACAGTCCACATCCCGGCCACAATAAGAACCCACTTGGCCACTTTGACACGTACCGCTCGTAATGCCTGGTGCTCCTCCAAGGCAAACGTGAGGATATGCACAGATATAAGTTTTCGACATGGCACAACTGTGTCCATGGGGGTAGCCCATCGGTGGCGCACCAAGTGCAATGCGGCTGGCTTCGCAACACGGTGTCTGTTCTTCTATATCCTTCAGGTCATCCCAAGCTCTATTGCATTCTTTTTGCATACTCTCCCAGATCGCCGACAAAGGTTCTGCAGCCTTGTTGGCAAACGTTATAGGTTGTATGGCTGGGAAAGTGCACCTTTGTTCTCCACAGATAGAAGAAAGAGAAAAAATGTCATCCGCAAATCCCACGTTACAAGTAGTACTGTTGAATACCACCAAAGCATTCAAAGCATTAAAGGCAGCCGAGGCATTCAAGGCATTCCAGGCGGCCAAGGAATCCGAAGAATTCCAAGCAATCAAGGCAGCCGATTTATCTATGATCTGGGAGATATCATTCATAAACTTGGGGACGACTTGGACATTGTTCATGAGATCCACGATTTGATTCCCGAAGACATTGAGCTTTGCAATAGCTGCATTGAAGTCAACAAAAAGCATGTCCACCTGTTTCAGTAGAGGATTCAGCGCAGCCATAATTACTCCAGTGATACCAGTATTTGGTACACATGTAATTAGATCCTTCATGTCCGAAAACACCTCCCCAATCGTTGCAATGTAATGCACGTTTGGTGTACAGCATTTGTGAAAGTCGTAATTGGTTTGAATATCCTTCTTTGTCCTATCGAGGATGTCTTGCATGCTGTCTTGAAATTTTGAGAATTTTTCCTTCACTTCATCGAGGAAGTCAAGGTTGAAGTCGAACTTTGGTAATTCAAATGGTATTGCGGGCAAGTTGAAGTGATCCATCATTCCATACATCTTCTCACTTAGCGCCTCAATTTTTTCTACGTTGACAGCCGACATGGTGAGTTCCTGGTGGCAACCAGAGCAGCCCACTGTCCTAACCAAACCGATTGTGGTGTTCGCTGCACTTGAAATGATGTTGGCATACTCAATAGTTTCCTTTGCTGTTGAGAGGCCATTGTGCAAAAAGGTGGTGGCATTCTTGTTTCTTTCCAAGGTTGGAATATCGTTCACAATCACATCCAATTTGAGACCGAGAATGTCCAGTTTCACGCTGATGGTCTTCATCAAAGTTCCGATATACGGTTCGGCACTCACTAAGGGCAAGATGTTATCGACGACAACCTCAATGGTTTCCAGTGTATGTTTGATTGGGAGCAGTTTTTCAGCCATTTCGTAGCGAAATGTGGTCACATTGCTTGCAAAAGAGGTGAACGGCAGGACAAGACTGATGGGGTATGCCACCTTGGATTGCAGTTTTTGAGTAGCAGTGGCGAGGCTGCCAAAGGCATCACAGAACTCGCACGTGTCACCACTGGCAAAATAACGATTGTGGATTTTGCGTGAGTAGAATAGCATCATGATAAATTACAGTCATCCTCGTATAAAAATACTTACCAGAAGCCATCCTCATCAAAAAACCGTTCCTGCTGGGTTTTGTGAGTTTCTGTCTTGACCACATTCTTGCTCTTTGCGACGATTGTGCAGGAGAAAGCCGAAGAGGCACAAAGGCAATCAATGAGCAAAGCACATCTGACGGATTTCTCATGTATCAACAAATATTTTACATACCGATGCATCTCTGGCTTCAGAGTGCTCGTGTCGGCCATGCTGCTGCTTGGTTCGAAGATGCGATTGTTCACCTTCGACTGAAGCACGTTCTCCATGATGGTGCTTGGCATCAGTGGCAATGGATGATCCCAAGGCCATATAGAACAGCACAGCAAGTACCTGAACGACCTTCATGCTGAGATGTGTCAAAAATGTAAACCACTCACAGTTGTGAGAGAATTCGGATCCAACAAAAAGATCTTCGTTTATAGACAAAGAAGATCAGAAAAGGTGTACCGGAGCTGTAAAACCTAGTACGATCTTACGATGATCCAACAAAATGTTCTTCGTTTAGACGAAGAAGATGTACCTGTACTGTAAAACCTCGTAGGATCTTACAGTAGGACTACCTCGGTATCACAGCCATTATTTTTATAATATATCTTGTCATTTCGCATGTCAACTTTTCATTTATTGTGCTGCCAGCTGCTGCTCATCATTGACAGGAGCTTTTACCGTACCGGTACAGTGAACACACAAAAAAGTATCCGCTAATTCGCTTGTGCGTCATTTCCAACCTGAAAAAGTCGAACCGGTTTCAGGTTGGGTGTCGTTAACCTACACCGTACCAGGTACCGTGTTCCATGTATCAGGTTCGTACCATGTACTGTTTGTGACACCATCCCGCGGGCCTTGCGCGGTCTGCGTTGGTGAAGGGATTACCGACGGAAGCAAGGATAAACGGCGGAAGGCGATGCTGCAGTTTCGGCAGGGACAAAGTTTCGGCAGGTTATTAGTTGGCAAGACGTAAAATACCAAATCCGTTGAGTCGACCGAGGCGCGCCTCTCAGCGAGCGCTATTTTCGGGTTCGTCGATCGTACCGGTACGTGAAGAAGATTGGTCAAGGACGAATATTCGGCATTGCAATGGCAAGAGCATGAATGTACAGTATTGGCTAATGCCAATAACAGTTTTTTGTTTTTCTGCAAGATAACCGCTGACGACATCAGTCCTGTGACTACTGTACCTGTACTGTAGGTCGCGTCCCTTGTTCAGATTTGCAATCAACAATTTCTAGTTGTCTGTTTTCTTCGCCATCCGCCATCCGCCATCTACAAATCCTGCTTCCGCTCTCCCATTGTTGTGAAACGGATTGCTCACCTTGTAAATCCTCTTGAAGAGCGACATTTTCTCTTCTCGAGTCCATTCGATTAAAGGTCTTCGACAGCAAAATACAGTAATGTTCCGGTTTCAAGATGGAACAGTCATCTGCCCAATCAATCAAGGCCAAAGTACTCGGCCGATCGCAGCCATGCAAGCCAGAGAGCAAGATTGGCAAGTCCTGCAAGACCTGCAAGAGCCTCCCTGTCCAGGGTGGAATACAATGTCCGAATATGCCGGTCCAGCAAGGCGACCGATTATCCGTTGGGCGACAGGACTGATAGAAAATGACCGTCTTGTCGTTGCTTGGTACTATGGCCTTTAGTTGCCATCCAGCCTCGACCAGGTTTGACATGGAGCCTTCTTCGGATGTATATATGTACCACCATGCTGGCCGTTGAGAATTTTCAACAACCATTCAATGTTCGTAGTGTGTTATAATGTTGCCTATTGCAAGTCCAAGTCCTTGCTCAACATTTCCATAGCTACCACATCAAGTCAACTGGGTCCAACATATATGTATATATACTATATACTTGGTGACAAAACCAACTTGGAACCCTTCCGGTCCACCTTGTATACTACCACTCTTCCGATACGGCACTGGACAATAATCTAATGTGATGATGATGATAATGAGAATGAGAAGTAGAAGGAGGATTAGTACGAAGAACTACTGCCACAACTACTTGGAATACGATGCCTCGACGGATGGATTCGCTCGGAATGAAAGCAGTGCGCATTGTTGGTGCATCCCCAGTGAAACCAAGGCAAGATTGGACTTTCTTCGTGTACCGATACCCTCTGATGACTCTCCAATAACAAAGATGGCTGTGGCAAGACGGTCTTGAACTACTTGTTGATGCACACGTCATTGTCGTTGTCGTCATCGATAGATTCCGATATTATGGTAAAGACAATTTTGCACGAGGCAATCATAATCCGAATGATTGCATGGACTCTTGGAAGCAACAAATGGAGCATTTGTTTGAAAGAAAGAAACAAAGAAACACAGTTCGAGTTGACACAGATTTACGACGAGGTGACGAGGCGAAAACACGTGCACGATTTCTAGGGTATGGTCGGATTCTATCATTCGAAAGGACAACACTGATGAAACTAGCACTATGGAAGACAAAAACGACTGAAGCTCTAGAAAAGGAGCCGTCAAATGAATCGAATACTACTTGTGATGCTGCTAGCATGACTACTGCTGACCATTGAGAGTATTGCCGATACATGAGTGGATCGGAGGTGTGTGATGGTAGAATACTTGTACCAAATGGAGAAGATGAATCAAAATGCAAAACAGTCTTGTAACTCGCTCTTCTAGAAAATAACGAATCCTTATGATAGACATATATAACTTATATGTATTGCCGAGATACCTACCGGTACAGTATTCAGATTACATTGAACCAAGTCTTGTATATATAATGTATTACTCTACTCTACTCCACTCCTTTTAATTTTTGAATGACGCCACTGCTTCTTCACTGGCTTTAAAGAGCATTTCAATAGCCTTTGGATCCGTTTCGTACTCTTTGGGTGGATTTGGAACGGCCGGTCCCGAGATTCCAGATTTTTTGGGCCCATACAAGACACCAGATTCCGCTTCAGGATCCATCATTCCCCTCAAAAGTCCAAGTGCACCATCTTCAGAAGTTTGGGCCATGAAGGAAAACACCGTCTTCATGAACATATCGGTAAAATATCCAAATTTCAAGTGATCCCCCAAGTTGGTATCGGAACCACCGGGATGGGCAGAAATGGCCTTGATCTTGCCATCTTTGAGTCGTTCGTGTAGACCATGCATGTGGACCGAGTTGGCCAATTTGCTTTGAAAGTATCGTTCAAAGACAGGACCCTTGAACAACTTGAGTTCATCGCCTCCCAACTTTCCTCCATTCTTGCCCAAGAACTTGGCGTCCAGTCCCTTGTTCGGTGTCTGACACATGTCGCGTGCACCACTGGAATGAGTGACAATACGAGCTTCTCCATGAGCAGCAGCTCCTGTTTCGAGTAGTGGCATGAGTTCCTCAATCAATA